TAATCTTGATTTATTGTAAATGTAAAAGTTTCATTTGTAAATTATAAACGTAATATAAAATGTACATCAAATGCTTTTTGTGATTAAGATATTAAACATTTCATGTTAAAATGTTTGCACATTTTTTTTCATTTATTTCTTTCTCTTCCATTAATGAACATTGTATTTGCTTACAAAGTGCAAAGATTATTTATCATTAATGAAGTAGCAACAAATAAAATATAACATGATTCTTTCATAGATAATTTAGTAAGAAAATAATTGAATAGGGTCATGGTACATATTTAAATTTACGACCCATAAATTCTTAACTAGTGTTTGGTTTTAGTTTAAATCTATTCGGTGTGGTTTTCTATTTGCTTTATCAATGAAATTGCTTTTCTCTTGAATTTATTATAGTCAGTTATTGACAACGAATTATAGTTATAATTGCCTTGCAAAAGGAACTGAGATTATTGCTTGTATTAATTATGTATAATTATTATAGTGGCATACGTGAACCTTGGTACATCACTTATGGCGGATGGCCGGCTATCAGAGGCAGCGAGTGCCCTTCGTACGGGTGCTCGTGTGGAAGGTCTGAGGGTCAGGGATAGAAGAGAGCATGATGCTGCTAGGGTATCAGCTCTGGTGCAGTTGGCTACGCTACACTCCCAACGTGGACATTTTCATAAAGCTCTCTCGGCGTACAAAGAAGCTCTACAAATTCTGCCAGATACGAACGCACCTGTCGTTGGATGGACAAGACATGTATGATAACATCAATTTTTATAATAGTTTTATTTTTAAGTAACTGGCTAACGGTCGAAGTTAATATTCGAACCTTCAGATAGACCTGACAACTTTATTTAATTTATGAAATCTAATTTTACGGTGGCCCTCTAAATCCTTTAAATCTTCATATCGCTTTAGGACCAGTGAGATATTGATTTCGATGTTAATGTTGTATTTGTTGTTGTATATATAAAGCTAATAATTTTATTCAATTTCAGAGTGTCTTGTCGATGGCTGGCGACATTTACATACAACTACAACAATGGCCACAAGCGGAGCATAGCATACTCTCCGCTTTGGCTGTCGCGCCGAAGGATCTGGGCACACATATTACGCTAGCTCAGATTCTAGCGAGAAATGTAAATAATTATATTTATTTGCGAAATTAAATGAAATTTTATTGTGACTTGTTATAATTATAATTCTATTTACAGACAAGTAGAGCTCTAGAAGCAGAAATGTGGTTCAAAAGAGCAGTTACATTAGCACCCGATGATCCCTCAGTAAGAGATCAATTTGGTGAGTACTACAGACATGGTATGTCAACTATGCATACATTAAAGAAAAGTAATTCTATTAAATATTAAAAATTGCCAACATGAGAACAAAAAGTTCTTTATCTTATCAAAAAATGATTGTCCAAAGTATTAATAATAAAATACATTTTACTCTTGAACTATATAATTATTGTCACGATCATCTCTTAAGGTATGTTCTTGAGATCACAAAGAAGGCTACGCGAGTCAGCGGAACAGTTGGTGCGCGCGGCGCAGCTGTCGCCGGCGGACGGTGCACGTGCGGCCGCCGCGGCACGTGCGCTGCGAGATGCACGTCGCTGCCGCTCCGCCGAGCGCTGGTATGCTCGTGCTGTTGAACTCAATCCAGAGGTGAGATGAGAACTGTAAAAAAAACAATGTTCATTAAAGTTTTAATACTTCGAACACTTCAAGGCTCTTTACAGTGAAATATCGTACATAAGCAGCTAACACGTGTAATCTATGACAGATTGGTAAAAAATTTTTTTTTAAACGTTAAGCTTACATTGGTTGACCCACAGTGTCATTTATCGTAGTTAAAATATGCTTAAGTATTAAGAAATATATTATGTTTTGTTTACAGGACGCAGCATACCATTCTAATTTGGGTGCGATTCTGCACTTGAACGGTAAATATGCCGCCGCAGCCGCGTCCTATCGCCGCGCTCTACAGTTGCAGCCCAACGACGAAATAACAATCACAAATTTAAAAAGAGTTCGAACATTAATGAGTAAACAACGTAGAAAATAAGATATAATATAGATAGCACAGCGATTTACCTATTATTATCAATGGAATTAAATAGGATGTCAATTGCCAAATACAAGAATGTAACATGCGTAAGATGTTGATTTGTACCTGCTGCAGTCTTAAGGAATGTAATATTTTATATTGTTCATTTTAAATATAATGCTAGTAAATGTAAGAACAAAACATGTTACATTAAGAAAATACAAGGCTAAAACATTAATTCAGTATGTAATCCTGATACATTTGTCTATTCAAAATAACATGTTTAAACGAACACTATACGAACTAATCATAAATTAAACGGATCCAAACCTGTCAAAGTTAATAACACGTATAACTAATATTAAATTCTGTATTAATTACTACTTGTATGATATTTATGAGCACAAAATGAGCTCATGAGAACAGCCTCATAATAATTTCATTAGATAAATCTATTTATAGCCAGCGATACGTTGGAATTGATTATTTCGGAATTGATATTTTGAACGAGAACACGTAATGAAAATATTTTACACAAGAATTTTAATATTAAAATAAAACATTGTCAGAGTCAGGAAAATACTATTTAGTGTTAAAAGCAGTCATATCAAAAATCACGTGTTAATACCATAATATCCTTGTGAAAATGTCTACATTCTGCTAGACATTACATGAAATATTAGTGATAAGTGTTACGGTAACTGTATATCAATTTTAAAATAAATAAATTTGTAATTAAAAAAAAAAACTGTTTATATTAACAGGCACAATCTTTTGTTTTTGCAGCAATTGTTTTAAGCTACATATGTATCTGACAATCATGGTCCTAATTCTAGTCTACGTTCAAGGGTCTTCGAACAACGCTGTAGTAGTAGATAGATATTTGTACTGTAAATACTTTTTTAAAAATAAAATACAATTTTATACGCGTGCTAATGTCGGTTACAATAAGAAACCCATCATTTTGAAAATTTTGGGTATACTTATTTTCATCTACATTTATTTCGTCTTCCATTATAATTTTAAATGTCTATTTTGCAATCCAATAAATAATAATCGTTAAAGGCTAGTGTATATTTAAAAATGTTTGTTCTCTTGTTTGTTAAAATGCTAAACAACTTTATTTAATGTCGTATAAAACACAGTTTCCTTCAATATCTCCTTTCTTTTGTTATTTAATATTAATTTATTTACTAATTTTTAATGTAATATTTTATAAAAAAAACGTGTACCACAGGATGCGGAATCCCCTGACTTAAGCAAACAACGGTAAGGGCTGCAGGGACAGGATTCTTCCCATGATTAATATTTTTAAAATGAATTAACTACATAACATTTTAATTATTTTAATTCCTATGTATACGGGCTTTTAATTTGTAATAATATTTTTTTTGTTTCATTGTAATTCTTCAATAAATGATACTTCGAACAATGATATTTGTTATTTAAATTTGATAGTAACATGTTTTAATAATTAATTTGGTTTTGTACTATCACTAATCAGCGCGTTTTTAATATGAATTCAAAAACATATCTATTTAAAGTTTTATTAGATTAAAAATACATTAATCGTTGTTATCATGTTAAATTTTAACATAACATTGTTGTAAATAAAAGTTAAGGCTTTAAAGGCATAATTATTCGATACGCCTTTAATGATAATATACTTTCGCTCCTATTTTTATTAGTTTCTTCTTCACTGTGACAATAAATGTAAATTACGCTTTGTAGTAATAGATAAATGCCAAATTAACTGTTTACTTCCAAATATTATTTTTCAATGCTATTAATACGTGTTTATAAAAATCAATTTGGTTTCGATCAAGCTTTCATTAGGTACTGGACCAATTCGATGACTGGACTCGTGGTTAAATTAATTATTATAAATTACACATTATGTAGTAAGCAATTAAACAAGTATAAATCTTTTGAAATTACACGTTATATCGATTATCAGAAATGGCATTGGAACTACAGTACTTTTCTGACAGACTGACCACGTCAAGTGCTACTATACTCGAATATTGTCAAGAAACATTTGACTGGTCTGAAAATAATTCATCAATAAAATTTAAGGGTATGATGGTCATAATATAGTAGACTTAAATATGTAAGTCAGAAAAACCGATATAGATTGCCTTGGCTATTCCGCGGCGTACACGCCGCGTGCCTACCTAATTAAGCGACCAAGTGTGATAGAAAAATACCAAACTATCTGACCATAAAACTGTGTAACCGTGCACTTGTATTCTAGTCTTGATAGTTCTCAAGTATCAATATTTCAATCCCATTTTATTTTATATTCTAAACATAGTGGTGAAGCCATCTCCTAAATAATTACGTAAATGAATATACTACGGAACAAAAACGTGAAAGATATCTTGAAATTTATCATGTTACACATAAGTTCCTTTAAGTCATTCTAAATTAGAATCGTCTATTGAGACGTTGTTTTTTTTGTATTGCAGCCTCATAATAATCATTACCCCTCGAATAAGATTTCCAGTTGAAGAAGTTAATTTCCTACCCATGAAAAAATAGCATTGAAATGTCATTTGACGCTTATACATATGTGCTAAATAAATCTTTTACGGTGACTTCTGCACGATATTCAATCCTAAGTGGGAAGCAAATTAAATTCTTCGACTGTACATACATTATCGTATGTCTTACTTCCATTAACCAGTTTATTTTCTATAATAATTTTACTATGTAATCGTACCTATGTATTTACGGGAATTAGATTCAGGAATTGTATTCATTATTCTTTTTATACCAGTTATGTAATTGTATTTATAGTGTTATGCAAGTAAAACTGCGAATTCCCAAAGTGATATTATATGTTGGTAATTTTGTAAATAAAAGCTTCGACATTTTATGTTCTTTTATTTCCCCACTAGCCCTTTGTAGCCCGCGTCTCCGTCCGCGCGAAATAAAATAAAATTTGTAGTCTATGTGAACTTCCACACTATGATCACTATGATCCTTGCCAAATTTATTTGAAATCCATTGAGCCATTCTGGAGATACCTTTAGACATCCATCTAGAGATGCATCCATCCATCTAAACATTTGCATTTATAATATTAGTAAAAAGAAAAATTGTACTTAATTATTAGGAATAGAATACACGATGACAATTCAATTATTAATAAAATAACTGAATTAACCGATAGTTTCTGATACCAAAATCTCTGTTTAAAATTTTATTTCTGTTTTGTCAAAGATAATCACAGGGATGACGATATGTTTTATATAAAACATTTGGACTCTGAAACCAACGGTAAGTATGTTGACAACTGCTACCACTTACTTGGATACCAGTGCATTTGTATTCTTAGCAACTGAAAAATAATACAAGTTTTATAAAAACACTAGCTGTCGCCCGCGACTCCGTCCGCGCGGGATTAAAAACAGATGTTGGCCGATTCTCAGACCTACTCAATATGCTCACAAAATTTCATGAGAATCGGTCAAGCCGTTTCGGAGGAGTATGGGAACGAAAATTGTGACACGAGAATATAATATGTACGATATTGAATCTACAGTTCTTTTAACCACAACGTATTGAGTTCATAAAACGGGTAAAATATTACGTGCAAATAACCTGTAAATTGCCGTCAAGATGTAATCTAGTACAGCCATTTGTACATCTGTTATTTTTTATAAAAAAATAACCAGCTATTTTCTTCAAAGAGAAACTTTGCTTATCGTCATTAAAATTGCGAGCAAAATATTCCGCTGTAAGAAACGACAAGATTGTATCGCAACAAGTACGCATAGAAAAGAAAACCACGATTTGCATTTAAAAGGAAGATAGAAGCTTGACATCGCTTACCTGAACGGCATGTCGCAACTTCATTAATATTAATCTTCGTGGTAAAACCAAGCGGCTACTGTGTTGTGACTTCATGCATAATTTCACTTTAATATTGTGAATAAATTTGAAATTCGAAATACGTAACCTACTCGGCTTTTGTGTTCGAAATTTAAATTACAAAAAACAATCTAGTCTAGGTACTATTAATTCCAAAACGACAAAAATAACATCAATCCAAATGAAAACATGAAACAAAAGCAATTTGTAAAATGTATTTCAACTTTAATTAACCTAAGAACTAATGATATGTTCGTATATTATTAAAACATCTTAAAAATAAGGGAAGTTTTAAATAATAAAAAGCATTCGAAAAATAAAAAAGAGATATTTTGACGTTAAGCTTGTTAAAAAAAACAGGTTTACACAAAAATATAAAAATTATATTTCGGCCCGAACATCGCTTTAATGAAAATTTTCATAAAAAAACAAACTATTAAGACTCGACTCTATCCGAAATCTATCAATTACTTCTTGTTTTTACTTGTAATAAATTACTAATATCTCTAACTTATTGAATCAACAAATATAGTGCCTCATCGAATGTTGAGCCTTGCGCAATCGAATCCACATGCTAAAGCCTGCACCATCGCCGTGGAGTACTGACGTATTTACACATTCGCCTGAGAATTCCTCATTTCGGAACGAAATACAAATCCCATTTGGCTTGTTTGTAACAGACACACTATTTACGTTGTTTATACTTGGTTGATTTAGTTTGGCGCTTTAATGAGATATGTTAGAGAGCCTTTTCTGTTACGTTTTACTAGCAGTCGCCCGCAACGTCCGCGCGGCATTAAAAAAAACTTAATTAGTAGCCTATGTGTTCTTCCAGATTATGTTCTACATCTATGCCAAATTTCAGCGAGGCTGCGATAAAGATTAAATCGAAGTAACAAAAATTTATTATCTTTTTTATTACTATACGAAGAAAGTTAAATAAATTACAAGATAAGAATATCGCAATTATGATTAATGTTATGGAAAAAAATTGCTAACAAATGCTATTTACAATTACGGGGAAATACATACATTTCATTTAGATTTCCAAACAAACGTTTCTTGGCAAACAAAATGCTTATAACATTGGCTGATTCAGCTAATAGCTATCTCAAATATTTAATTCGTGGGAAGGTCTTTAGCTAGATTTCGTGGAAGCCAATGCAATTGCTTACGAGATGATTAGGTTCACTCAGTGCTTTGAAGCTAACTAATTATGTATCAGAATCAAGCTGTTTATGTCTTGATTAGGATTAAATATATACTCAGTATATATCTACAGTTTATATACTTATTATATACATATTTGGTTAGTTGAAATTCGAACATAAGCAATAAACAGAGCCACAAACAGTGACGTTCTCCCTGCCTTATTTCATTTTTTATAATACTTTCCGATTTTAATAAAATCTTCATTTTTAATTATAGTGATTTTTTTATTTAGATTTTACCTTCACAAATTCTATTTACCTTAATAAAAATTATAACTGTGGAAATGTTAATTGAAACAGGGTCGGATTAAAATGGAAGTTCATTATGATGGTCTGAACTATTTGCAGGGACGATTAATATTTTTCGTGACACACAGACACGGAGATTTGTTTACATTTTTAATTATATAAAATATTATACTTATTGAAATTTCCGTGAAATTTATTTTTAAGGAAAAAGGCAAAGGTTTACTTATTTGATAAATACAATTGTAAAGTTTAAAAGATTCATTAAGACCCATTATTTTTATAATTTAAAATTTCTTTGTCGTATTAAAACTTATCATTCTTTCCAATAAATTAGTTTCAATTTATTAGATACAGCAAAAGTTTATATAAATCTTTAGGTTTTTGTTGATGTGTAATATCTAGCTTTCAGGTATTGTCCCACAATACGTGCTTAAGCTAAAAAATGTAAGGATTTCAGACTTGGACTTTAATTGCATTGTTTTTATTATTAATAAAACCCTGTTCGCTCTACTTCTTGTCCGTATGTCGCAGGCTTCTAGGTGCGGCTTCCCACTGCGGATTGTCACTGCTAATTTGCACTCAATTGTTCATCTAGGATTAAAAGTAATGAAAAGGGAAATGTAACTATATGTCTACTTTATTAATTAAGAGTTTATTTAGAAACTTATAATTATTGAAACATAGAAACAAAGGTTTCCGTTTTTGTGATATGTTTTACCAACTTAATCTAAATGTTAAGAAATCTCTTGTTTAAATTCTTATTTACTGAATTGTTCGGGTGTTAGTTGAAAACACCATTATTGTGATGATATTTTTTTTCCAAATAATATAAAACAAATTAACCTAAAATACTATACATTACCTAAATTACTTTTACCTGAAATACATTTTCAGCATTTCCAAGTCCTTCTTAGTTATCAATTTACACCATCATCTCGAAATGTTGGAATCTTATATAGAAGAAGAAGAGAAGGGTGATAGGTAGTCTTACGAATATTATAAATGTAAATGTTTAGATGGATGGATGTTTGTTTGTTTGAAGGTATCCGCTTAACTTTTTTTCTAATTCCGTGCGGACGGAGTCGCGGGCGATAGCTAGGTAAAGATATTTCCTGGAAGTAATTAAAATTTCCAATTACTATCAAAACGAAATAAGTAAGTTTC